GCCTGGAGGTGTGTTTGGGGTCATTGTCCTGTTTAAAAATAAATGATGGTCCAACTAAACGCAAACTGGATGGAATAGCAAGCTGCTGCAAGATGCTGTGGTAACCATGCTGGTTCAATATGCCTTCAATTTTGAATAAATTCCCAACATTGCCACCAGCAGAGCACACCCACACCATCACACCTCCTCCTCCATGCCTCACCTTTTCAAAGACACGATGGTTGGAACCAAAGACCTCAAATTTCGACTCATCAGACCAAAGAACAGATTTCCACTGCTCTTATGTCCATTCCTTGTGTTATATAGCCCAAACAAGTCTCTTCTGCTTGTTACCTGTCCTTAGCAGTGTCTTCCTAGCAGCTATTCTACCATGAAGGCCTGATTCACACAGTCTCCTATTAACAGTTGTTCTAGAGATGTGTCTGCTGCTAGAACTCTGTGTGGCATTGACCTCTCAAAGCAGGCCAAAGGCTAATATTAATATCTCCAATTCATCAAAGTCATGGTTAAGAAAACTGCTACCTGTGTATGAACTTTTTCTTTTCAAACCGGTGTGTCAAGATGTAAGATGTTATCACTCACACTCAAAGTCTATCCTTTCTTTGCCCTTACCAGCTGTTAAAACATGAACATCCTGTTTTTACAAATCAGTTGTTTAAGAAGATCAATTTGACATGCACCCATTAGACCAGAGTGTGTTCTCACGAATAAAGGTGGGAGTAAAACATAGACAAAGCCTCCTACAGCTGTAAACCTAGAATATCCATTTAAGGACACTGACATATTTCAGGGAAAACCAGCTGCATCTTACTCAGGAAAAGCTTTCATATCTGCACAAACAAGACTGTAAGCGGATGTTTTAAATGTGCAATTTCAAAGGCTTCCACAGTACAATTGTCTCCTCCACTAATTGTGCCAGTGTTGAAATTATTGTGGATCAATATGTTGCTTTAAGTTTTCTGTTCCTTTCTTTTTGTAATCATGTTTTTTTTCTATATATTAGGAGTAAGGCTACTGAATAATGAAAAAAAGCATATTTGAGCACAGTTTATGAATGCTTGTTGTGTATATCGATGTCACAGATTATGGGCGTTTTGAACAAACTTCTCTGAGCAAGTTTGCTGTTTTTTCTAAACAATGAAAAACTTTAGGAATCATCCTCTCTATACATGTGACTTTTGGCTAAATCATTAGATAAACTGGTTGGTTTCCAAGCACGAACAAAGTGTTCACATCAACTCTATACATCTTTACTAAAGCTGATTGCTTTGTGAAGGTCATTCCACTCTTATACAGTTAATGTTCTTTCTTCCAATAATCATCTTTCATACACTTGACAAAATATCTCACTGGAACTGTACATTTAACAGAATTTCATTAAATTACTGAAAGTCTACAAAATGTATGCAGAAAAATTATGTTTCATTTTCTGAATGTTTCTTCTGTTTCTTCCAGATAATTACAGCCCTCCAAGGAGTGGATAGAATATTGGGTCAACTCATGAACGGCCTCAAGCAAATTGACCTACATCGCTGTCTCAATATTATTGTTGTTGCTGATCACGGTAACCCAAAACATAGTGATCAATGATATATTGTTTTGCATGATTTTTTTTAATCTTTAAACTGAGTAACAGTTTCAGTTTAGCCTGTTCTGTTCCAGAGAAATCCTTTATCTCTAATTGTGAATATTCTTACAATAAAAAATATCCCATTTGAGTATTTAAAATTAGTTTTTTCATTAAATACTCAAATTACAGATACAGGAATACAGCCATGTTAGGAAAACACCAAGTCTGGTTTCCTGATAAATAAACACTGTAGACTCTTATTAAGCACCTAGCCACGATAAATACAATCAAACTTTCCCTAGCAACGTAAAAGCCATAACAAAGCAAAGAAGAGCGGCTGGCGTCCTGCTTGTGTTCATTGCTCTGGGTTTCAGCCACTCTCAATCTGAGTTTTTCATAGCCATGCATCACAATTTAATGCCCTGCAGCTGCGCTATTACACTTTATATTAGATTTTTAACTGAGTATGCTGGCTGTGCAAATGGTTGCTTTTAAACTTCTGTTGGGTCTGAGGTCCCCATTTCACTCATTATAAATATCCTGCAGCATTTTAAGTTTGTCAAGTTGTTTCTTGAGAGCCAGGTTTTAAAGCTCTAGTTTGGAATTTTGCTTTCTGAAAGAGAATACATTTTAAAACTATGCTCCCAGTAATATTTGCTTTTTGAAAAGAACAAAAAAGAAAAACCCCTGTATCTTAAATAGTTCCTAAAAAAAACATTTATTAGCATTTAGTTCCTATGTGCAATATATAACATGTCTCCCTGGTGTACCATGCTACGTTTGTTTCTATGAAGTGAGTCTAGCTGAATTTTAGACATGGTTGTATCATTGCTTTTTTTTTTTTTTTTTTACAATCCCCTTCAGGTTACTGATGAATTCTACCAAAATTTACTAAAATACATTCAAAAACTAAAACTAAGAATACAGGGCTTTGTGAACAGCTAGGTTCTTTAGCTTTACTCTTTTAAAATCTACCCTAATTAGAAGCAATAGCAAAGTGCTGAAATTTTTTTTTCTTATGTTATTTTCTGATAAACTGAGTTTGGATAGGGGTGAGGTTATTGTTGGAAATGTTTAATATATTCACTTGTTTTAAATCTTGAGTATAATTTTTAAACAGAGAAAACTGAAGGCCTACTTCTGGAAAAAGTCAGCAGTTCTGTGATAAACAATGATTAACTGAGTACTTTGCAGGTATGGAAGAAACGAGCTGTGACAGGAAGGAGGTGATGCAGGACCTGGTGGGGGATATCAGTAATTATTTTGTCAATGAGGGGCCAGTTGGACGCATCCGAGCCAAAAATAAGGATTTTGTGTGTAAGTAAATGCTTCAATGATGAACTGGCTCTGGTTTCTCTCTATATTTTATTCTGTGGTTAAAAAAAAAAAAAAAAAAAGTGTGAAGTTGTTTTAATTTGAGCAACTAACCTTAAAACCTGCAGTAAAAGCTAATCATAACTTGTCACAATAAATTAGACATGGGTCTAAGCAACAGCGTGGGAAGAGTTTAAAAATGAATGCTTTGATGATTATTATATGTACTAATGAATCATGATTTTATCTAAGGCTCGGACCCACATGCAGTGAAACCAAACAGAGAGACACGGATGAAAAGTTTGACGGATTTTATTGAAGATGTTAAGCTCGGTGCAGAGTTCCTCTGAACTCTGCTCAGAGTTCCTCTGAACTCTGCTCGTCCGGAACTGGAAGATGAGGGGAAGACAGGCTATTAGTTCAGGATCAGTGGGAAATTTGAATCGTTGATTTGAAGCAGAGAATCTGGTGGTTGACTCACGTTTCCAGAGAAGTGAAGGATCCTTGACTCCAATCTGTGTGTTGGTTTTCCAGAGTTTGTCTGACTCGGTGGAGGGCGGAACAGGGTTTACCCAGAACTCAGACGGTGTAGGAGAACGGAGACGCGGATTGCCACTCAGATTTCCTGCTGTACTTGAACGGGTCGTGGTGAAGATGATTCCCTTGCTCAGATCCAAACCTCCTGTTTGAATCCCTGGCTCAGTTTAGACTCAGTTGATCCCTCCTGGGAGAGGAGGTCCGAAAAGGTCCAGTTTGGAGGATGACTTCCTGCCCGGAGGCAAAGACAAAAACAAAGTTAAAACTCAGGGAGACAAGAACTCAGTCTTCCTCAGTGAAAACTCAGCTTGGCTAGAGTACCCAAAAACTGGCAAACACTCTGGCGTCGAGGTAGTGGCAATCAGCAGCTTAGGGCACTCCGTTAATGAGGTAACCGTCAGCAGGTGTGTGAGGAGGCGAACCGGAACCAGGAGCCTCCTGTTGGTGGAAGGGAGACAAACACAAAAACAAACACACAGACGGGAGCCCTGACAGTAACTACGAAACTGAAATGGTTTGTAACCTTAAACAAACTTATCCAATAAACTTTGCAACAAAAAAAATGTTTAAAAAATGTGTTCTCTAACAAAACACTGCCAAAAGAAAAAACAAAATGTTGGGTCAGATTATCAAGCAAAGTTTTGTCGGTGATTTTGTTGGTTAAGGGAATAAATTATTTTAGAATATATAGAATATATGTTCTTTTTGCATTGTGTTTGTGGAAAATAAACAAAAGAAACAAAATAAAAACAACAATGAAATCAATTTTTTTTTCTTTCAGCAGTGTATTGAAAGAGAGAAAAGAAAAGACTTAGAAATGTTAACTTTTTTTTCGACAGTGTGTTGGTGGAGAAAAGACACTTTGTTATTGTTTGGGGTAAAAACCTGTTTTAAGTTTGCGAATTACTTTTTATTTAGCTGTTATAAAAGAAATATAAATGAATAAAGAGATAAGTAAATATAATAGTCATTTAAGTATTAATATTTAGACTAGTTTCACATTATTTCTTACACCCATGTTTAATTTATTGTGAAAACGTATGATAAGATTTTAATGACAGCAGGTTTTAAGGCTATTTGGGAAATGCAGTGTTGATCCTAAGAAAGAGCAGTCATGATGCTGCCTTCAAATACCCAGGGTTAATTCTATATTGCTCATGAACATGATAGGGTCGATATGATAACTACATATTATGGCCAAAAAATACACAGCTTTTTGTACCTCGTTTGTACTTTATTGTACTTTGCAAAAATCTAGTTTAGATATTGGAACATTGATTCTTAGAAAGCAGGCGTAAAAAAAAATAGTCTTTAAAAAATGTTTTTCCATTTGCCTTTCAGGACAGGAAAAAAAAAAAACTTTTCTCATCCAGATCTTTTTTTTTTCTCACTTGTCTTTCAGGGCTTCCATATTTAAGTAATGAAAGTATCAGTAAAACCTTTCATTACTGGGTTAAACGTCTCTCTTTTTTTTTCAGGTCAGCCTGAGTTGAGAACCACAGCAAAGCAAAAATATTTGTCAAATATGTGTCTTAAACAAATTTCCCCTGCTTAAACAGCACTTATCTGTGAAATCATGATTCTTGGAAAATCTTGGTTTTGCAGTTGGTATTTGTAGAGTCACTCATGGAGCTAAGCCAGTTTTCCCCACCAGTGTACAGTCATAAATGCAGAAAACACCAGTGCGTACTTCCTTTGGACCTAAGGTTTCTTTGATGATGCATTCTTCTGCTTAATGACGTTCAAGGAGTTCCATGCAAAGAGAAAAACTGTTCATCTGTTTTTCAAAGCTGTCATGAAAATGTTAATCCGTTCTGCCTGATAAATCTTCTAAGTTTGTTTTACATATGTAAACTATGTCCTATGCTGTGGGTTATGTGACTTCCGTGACTGTAGAAATAACTTTACGAGCATTTCTAGACTTACAGAAGTTTTCATCTGTTTATGAATTTGGTGAAAGGGAGGTAAGATGTGCTGGATTCAGAGAGTTTTTACCCTTTTTCAATGTGTCAGAAAGATTCTACTTTAGAACTGTTCTGATTGTAGGGGTGATATTTAAACCTTGGATCTTAATTTCCCCTGAAAAATATGTTTTATCATAGTTTTTCATACGGTTACTTTGGGTGTCATAGCTTTTTCATCCATGACACAAAATTTCAGACTAATGACATCACTTCTTTCCATTCAAACTGAAAATGAACCATCATCAGTGGATTCATAGTTCTGAAATGACAAAACAGTGTTTCATTCTCTCTCAACAGTGGACTCTGCTGGACTTGTTGCTAATATGAGTGTAAGTATTTAGTATGACAAATGACTACATGGTTATGGACTGAGGGGGAAAAAAGTGTTTCTGCTTTCATCTGAGAAATTACTTCAGGATTTAAGATTGAATTTTAGGCCAATATATTTCCAACCTCTTGTGAAGCTAATGCTACTTTTACTTGTTTTACTCACTACAATATATACATTCTATTGTTCCTTATATAAGCAGCTCTTTTATTTTAAATTAATGTCTATGGTTTTGAAAATTTAAGTGCAAGAAACCCGACCAGAAGATCACACCGTACCTGAAATCCGACCTACCCAAGCGCCTCCATTTTGCAAATAGTCGACGCATAGAAGACGTCGCTGTTCTGGTTGAACCAAAATGGCTGTTTGAGAGGTATTCAGTGCATTTCTACATTTTTGTTGGGTTTGTGTTTATACAGTGGGACCTTGAAGGTTTTTGTTTTATTCTGAAGTTTTTAGGAAGATAAATCAATCATTTAGAAAAGTAAATATTCGAAAAAATTATTTTCTATTATTATCAATTTGTTTGCTTTTGAGTGAGTTTATTTAATTGCATCAAATCAGGTGTCATCAACCTATAAGGGTTACTTTATGGGTAGAGTCATAGGAAGGGCTACCAATATTGACTTATGAACTGGAAGAGTCAGCGTCTACCTAAAAGTCATGAATAATAAACATATTTTTTGTGTTTCTTTTAATCTATAATTTTCTGTTTGAAATCTCTATAAATATTTTGTCCTTTATAAATGATTAAAAAAGAAGAGCAACAGAATAAAATAAAATGTCAAACTTAGCCCAATGGTGAGTTGTACTGTTTTCAGAAGATGCTGAGGGACCCCCATGAGGCCCCTGAGGGCCCCCTGGTGCCTGAGTGCTACATAGTAAACTTCCCCAAAAAAGTTTTAATCCACAATAAACAAAAAGTAGGGTGGTAAGCTTAAAAAATAAGGATAATAATAAAATACATTTCCTATTAGTAAAGGACAGGGCCATCAAACCTACAAACAGCAAAATTTGGCCAAAGCCATTAACAAGTGATGAATGTGCTGGTCCTAAGAAAAACTTGTCTTTTCTTTATTAATTTCTTTTTTTTTTCTTTCTTTCTTACAACTCACTCCTATTGGCACACTTCCCCATGCAGCAGAGGGAACAGTAACATAGTTTTGGCAGTCTACTTCTGCCTGTTTTGTTACGACACCCAAAAATATCTTTTACTTTTTTTTTTTTTATCATGACTTCAAAAACTCCCTTTGGCTTTAGGTCAAAAGAAAGACTGAAGTTCAAAACAGAAGTACTATGTAATATTTATCCTATATTTCACAATGATACGGGCAACAGAGGGAATATTTACCCTTCACTAGAAGTGATTATTTTTGGGAATATTTTGTTTCTTGCCAGTGAGCAAGAAGCAAGAAGCAATAATTTAACAAGCAGTTCTTTGTTTTATTGAAGTTTGTTCATTATCCTCCTACGTTTCAGCATAATAATAATGCTTAACTGGAAACACAAATACATAATTGAAAGCATAAGTTTAACAACACACTCCTTTTCCCCAGATATCCAGGATCACTCACATTCTGCGCTGGAGGAAATCATGGCTATGACAATGACGTTGAGAGCATGCATGTAAGCAAAGAGTTCCCCTTCTCGGGCTTGGAAACCTGCTCAGCTTTCTTCCAAAGAAAAGCCAATGCATTTGGAAGTTTGATCTTTTTTCTTTTGTTTTGTTTTTCCTCTGATTTTTTACAGGCAATGTTTCTAAGTTATGGGCCCAAGTTTCAGCAAAAAAAAGAAATTGAACCCTTTGCTAACATTGAGCTGTACAATCTAATGTGTGGTAAGTGTTTTCCCTTAAAAGTAAAAAAAAAAGTGTGTGATTATTTTGAACCAACATTTTAACTCTAAATCCAAAATGAAAAATTAATTTGAAAAAAAAAAAGTAATCAAAATTGAACTCTATTAATGACACATTGGAGAAATTCACCTCTGAATTGGAGCCATCCCTTTGAGAAGTGGGCTGCCATAGTGTGGCGCCCAGGGAGCAGTGTGTTGTTTAGGGTCTTGCTCAGGGACCCAGAGTGGCAGTCCGTGGGAGTGGGGCTTGAACTCAGAACCTCCAAGCGCATTGCCCTGATCCTATCCACTAGGCCGCCACTCTCCATGTGTCTTAGTATGATTTACATTCACAGATGTGCTTGATATCTCTCCGTCTGACAACATTAAATATGTTAAAATCAAATCAGATTAAAATATTTTAAAATAAAATGCAAAGTAAAGATTAACTCATACTGTAGCCAGACTATTGTTTTAATTTTATGTGCCATTTAATCATCTGTTGTGAAAGAAAGCTTTCCTTCATGAAAAAGTGGTAGATGTTTGATAAGTTTTGTGTGAGGGAGTTCAATGGTGGGTTTAATGGTTGTTAGAGGGTTTGGGATAGTAGCAGTTGTCATGATGGGTTCACAAGAGAGACCCAAGTATGCAGAAGCCACGAGACGGAAACTGAAGTAAAAGGTTTAACAATGTTTATTGTTTCACAAGAACAGAGAAATAACACTGGTACTGGTTCAGGCCTGGGGGGCTGGTTCACTGGAGTCTGCGTGGGAGACAGTTCAGTTAGCGTTGCATCAGAAGAGCTTGACTTTGAGAGTTTCAGGTTTGTACCTTGAGGGTTCTTGGTTAACGCTTTGGGAGGAGAACTGTTGAGTCCAGAGATTGTTTGTTCAGCAGAGTCCGTTAGCTGCTTCAGCGTCTTAATTCTAGAGAGAGGGCAGACCTTGGTTTTGAGTTTCCA